TTTTTTTTTTTTTTGGATGTGTGGTAAGGACAAAACTTTGTTCATGGGCTTGTAGTTCATCAGAGTAATAATAGCATTGATTCATATATTGAACTGAACAACAAATGAATGAATTTCATAAAATTAAGTTATATGAAAATATTGCATTCGTTTTTGTAAGATTTTTTTATTTATTCAAATTATACTATTATTAACTTTTTGATCCTTTTAAATATAAATTTTACTTTACATTCTTTATAAATTGTATATATATCCAATATTATTGTCATACATATTTGGGAATATGAATTCAATTGCACTAAAATCTCATTCAAATAACTTTCTTTTTATAACTTTAATTTGAGCATTTATATTAATATATTAAAAGAGTTTGTAATACAAGTTAAAGAAATAAAATAGGAATGGACAAAAATGATAGAAAATTGGAAATGAGAGAAGGGACAAGAAAAATAACCATAAAACAAAATTTTGCAAGTTAAGCAATTATAAAAGAAAGAATTGGTAAAAACTAACGTAAAAAAAGAAAAAAAGAAGAGAATTGTTAAATACTTTCCCTTATTTTAAAATACTTTATATAGATCTTGTATATTAAGAATATATATGGTTTGATTTTTTTTAATTAAAATAATAGTTGATAATTTTTAACTTCAATTTAAAGGATTATGAATCTAAGTAAATAAAGATTAAAAAAAACTAAAGAAGATGAAAAAATATATATATAAGATAAAAATTATTTGATTATTAAACCAACAACTAATAAAATTTATATATTTTATATATAAAAAAGAAAATCAAAAGGTAAATTTTTTTTAAATTAATCGTATGTATATATCTATATCTATATCTATATCTATCTATATCTATCTATTATATAACATGCTACACTCAAGTATTAATTATGCACTAAAATGTGTCATTTTTATTTTAATTATAAAAAATATATTTTGTTAAAAGTTAAAAAGAAAATATAGTATTTTTACTTTCAAATGTAATAAATATGCATATTAATAGTATTAGTTTTACCTTTTTATCTTCTTATCTTCTTCTCTTCTTCTCTTCCACTTCCACTTCTCTTCTTAATATTCTCAATTATTTTATTATTCTTAGCTTTCATTACATATATAATGAATGAATTAAATCAAAAGAAGATGAAGAGATGTTTAATTTTTATGGAGAGTAAAAATATATGATTACAATTTCATTCATCATCATTTATAACACTATTATAACACTTTTATTCATTATTTATTTTATCATTTTTAATTTTTTTCACCTCATACACTTTTTTTTTTTGGTTGGAAAAAAATGTACTTGGAAAAAAATGTGCACAAGGAAGTGAGATCTAAAAATGCTTGATAAAGAAGAAGATTTTTGTATGAATTGTTTGATTTTATTTCATATAGATTTTTTTTTTGTTTTATCACAAATATTTTTTTAAATAATAATAGAATATGTATATATATATGTATTTGTTTTGAAAGTAGACATACAAAAGAATGTGATGATAACAATGCAAATAAGTTTCTTGATGAATAAATTAGAACTATGAAGAAATTTGAGAAATATTCATATTAATTCATTGATCTTTATGAATGTCAAAATCAATCAAATAAAATTTGATTCTTTTTTATTTATTTATTTTGAATTACATATATATGCTTTATTTTTACTTTTCTAACACATTTTGAAATTGCTATTTAATTTTAATAATAACAAGAACAAGAACAACAACAACAACAACAACAACAACAACAACAATAAAAATTAATGTATAAATATGTACTAAAACAATATCTAAAATTATCCTTGCAATTTTCCATTAAATGGGAGTAACATACATTTTTATCCAAATATTTGATGTATATTAAATCAGTATATTCATTATTATTTTCAATTATATGTATGTTAAATCAAGGGAGAATGACTTAAGAAACGAAAAATATTAATTTGTAGAATATTAAGCATACTTAAGAAAAAGTGAATATTTAAGAATATTAA